ATTGCATATATTATTATCTATGTTAAAAATGATGTTTGTTTGATATGTTGGAATATAAGAGACTATAATGAACTTTTATGATATGTTTCAAGTAATTACATGATAAACGTTATGAATTCCATAAGTATATATGAAATAAAATGATAGATTATAGGATTATATGAATAGAATAATTATGATCGTATGGTGAGAATGTACTTTGTAGGTGAACTAGTATAATAAAATTATACTAGGAAATGAGAATTTAGATAAATTAATTGAGATAAATAAATAATACATCAAATAGGAAATATGTATAGAAATAACTTGTATAGTAAATTCCATATGTTTTAATGAAATGATGATCTAAAGCTGGTTTAATTCTTAAGTGATATAAACATAGTACAAACATCTAGGAAATGAAGTCATATGGGAATATTATAGGAGTTAAGTTGTGATAAGTATGGTAATGTGTTTATGTGGCAAATTATGTGGAAAATGAGCTAATAGAATATAAAGAATTAGCACACAAGAATATGAAATAAAATATGTAACAAGAGTCTAGGTAATATGGTAAATTGAAGGTTATGGAAATATAGATAAGACAAATGACTATAAAGAGATTATATATTAAGAATTATGAAAAAAAAGGGATGATTCAAAGGATAACAGGAGATTGTAATATAAGTTGAGTGAGGTAAAATAAATGATTATATGCACATGAACAGTATATTATGCTATATGATGATATGTGTACATGTATAAATTGGTTGTCTAAATTGATATATGATGTTGCGTTATATATTTTTATATGAATTGTGAAATGTTCACGCATTGTGGAATATAGGAAGTTCAGATTATACACGTTTTATGCCTCACTAAGTCTTCGACTTAGCGTGTGAATGTTTCACACGTAGGTTGGAAAGCGAAAATATAAGCTAAAAGGAGTAAGACAGGTCAGATATCTTCCTTACTAAGTTCATATCAGAAAAATAATAATTAATATGTATTTTGGTTCCTTTGAATATAGTTGGCACGTACTATTAGATTTGAATTGTATCTGCTCTGATAAGTTTGTAAACCTTTATTTTGAAATTATATGAAGTTTTCTTTTAATGGAACATTTTTATTAGTTTGTACAAGTAAAGGTTTTGAAAGTTGATGTGACATCTCGGACTCGGATACGGGTTGGGGGTGTTACAGGAGTAGTGTCCCACACCGTGAGTTCAGGGTTATGACATGTTGGATAAAAGTTCATGTTAACCATATTCTTTCCGATTAATGCATCCATCTTCGAGTCGTCTAGTTCCACTCCCATACTTCCCATCAAAGCTTCAAGCAATTTCTTCACCATGTCATGTACGTCTTCAAATATTGAAGGGCATCATCCCTACAAGCACCAAGGAATTGGTACTCCAAGCTAAAAAACTTTTTGGTTGATTTGGGGTTTTAAAGTTCTCGTGCAAATAACTCCTTATTCATCAAACATACCAATAGCACTAGCACATATGTCTTAGCCTATGTTGATGATATCATTGTTACAGGAGAAAAAATGAGGATGTTGAGCAGGTTGTTGGAATTGAAGTAAAGTGCGTTGATGGTACAGTCTTCCTCAGCCAGAAGAAATATATAATGGTACTGTTAGATAAGTCATGAATGAGCAAGGCCACAACAACTCCAACTCATGTGGTTGCATCGATTAAACTATCAAGTAATGATGCAGGTAGTTTATTAGAAAATGCGAAGGAATATTGCAGCTTGGTTGGGTCCTTGTTATATGCGTGTCATACAAGGCCAGACATAGCTTATTGTGTGAATAAGCTAGCCCAGTTCATGCATACACCATGTGAACAACACTTGGTGGCTGTCAAACGTGTGCTGAGATACCTTGCGGGGACACTCGATTATGGCTTGGTTTTTTTGCCAAGAACAGAACCATTTCAGCTTGTGGCCTTTGCTGATGCCGATTGGGGAAGCAGTATCGATGATAGAAGGTCCATATCAGACACTTGTGTCTTCCTTGGTGGTAGTATGGTTCAGTGGAGTTCAAAGAAACAGAAGATAGTTTCGAGGTCCACTACAGAGGCTGAGTACAGGAGTCTAGCTGATGCCACCTCTGATATCATTTGGCTTGAAGCATTGCTGTGTGATATGAAGGTTCGAGTTCAAGCTGCTTCGGTTGTGTGGAATGACAACACAAGTGCAATTGCAATGAGTGCTAATCCAATTTACCACTCTAGAACAAAGCACGTGGAATTAGACATACACTTCGTGAGGGAACGAGTTGCTGCAGGAAAGCTTCAAGTGAACTTTGTACCTTCTGAACATCAAGTGGCAGACGGGCTTACTAAGGCATTAACGAAAGATAGCTTTGTTCAGTTTAGGCAAAGGCTTGGTGTGCTTTCATTTCTTGAAGTTGAAAAGAGAAAAAGTAGGGGGAATATTGAAGTAAACGTTCTAGAAGTAATCTGCTATGTGTGTGTAAAAGTGTAGTGCAGTTAGTTGTTAACATTCTGTTACACCAGCTTACCAGCTTAGGTAGTTGGTTATCACATGTATATAAACCTTGCTTTCGTTAATGAAGAATCAAGAAGCTTTCTTAAGATTTCTGTATTCTTTACACAATCTAATAAGAAAGAAAAGAAAATACGGTTCATAGATATATTTCAGTACCTGCACTCAACAGGTCATTGTTGCAGAGCTTCAGCATCATTGGTGTAAGCCATGCTAATGTAGTATTTCCACTCCAAAGCTTTCTCCTTCTCAGGGACAAAAATCCTGCCGTGCTTGACTAATGGGGATGGGCTCACTTCTTTGCGATACACAGCTTTTTTTCTGCAGGCAAGCCAAAGAAGTTATGTACCGTCTGCTCGAGGGACTCGAGTAATTGTACATGAATTCCATGGTTGATAACTTGGAAGAATCCAAGAGTCTCAGCAGCTCTAACAATCTGATTCACCACTTCATCATGGTCGGGACCATCAAGCCTGGACAAATCAATGGGTGGAAATAAACATTTGGTTGCATTGTTCTTATTGATTTGCTCGGCGGGTGGCTGAATATAAGCCTGGGGCACCTTTGAAATACCAGAGTCCACAATTCCTTTGACGCCATTGCCATCTCGGACGACAAAATTGAAGAGGGAGCTCTCATTATCAATACTTGGAGCCATCTGGGTGTAATGTGTTTAAGTAAGCTGTTGGGGTATTGCTTATTTGCTTCTGTATGTGCAGAGAGGATTGTTTGATATGAAACTGTGTTGCGGATGGACCAAAAGGAAGGAGGGGGCTACTTATAGTGCATGGATGGTTGATTATAATCATTAAAATATGAATCTTGTGTTGACGCAAATGGTTTGAACTTCTCAGAAAAAGAAGGTATGGGGGCCTTCGAATATGACAAGTTTTACCTTTGAAGAAATTTAGGGAATTATGAATTCAAGACAATCCCCATTTCTGACCAAAAAACTAAACAGAATGTTAATTAACGGAAAATAATTAATCTTTCTAGAACAACGACCAGAGTAATTAGAGCCAAGGGAAAAATCTCAACACGACAAGAGTAATGATTGTCCCTTCAATGTTTCCCAATGAATCAAACTTTAAAACAATCCTTAGTTCTACGAAACAAAGACAGAAACTGATACACTTTTTTAAATGGCAAATCCTTCGACGACAAGGTATAAGTCAAGCACCTGGCCGTCAAAGGAGAAACACAATATGACTCGGTAAAGCATCAAAAACTAGAAATATATGTACTGCATATTGCAAAGTTTCTTCAAAAGTAAAATGTCACATGTAACATTGTCCAGCTGAAAACTTCAATCCCATTGGATCATAAGTTAAGAAGAAATTATTTTTATTACTCATTCATGCACTATAAATAACCCCCCTCCTTCCCTTTGGTCGATCCACCACACAATTTCATATCAAACAACCTCTTGCTCATACAAACAATTACTTACAGTTTCACATCAAATGGCTCCATGTTTTGATAATCAAAGCTCCCTTTTTAATTTGTTGTCCGAGATGGCAACGGCGTCAAAGGGACAGTGGATTCTAGCATTTCAAAGGTACCCTGGCTTACATTCAGCCACCAGCCGAGCAAATTAATAAGAACAATGCCACCAAATGTGAGATTCTACCCATTGATTTGTTGAGCCTTGATGGTCCTGACCATGATGAAGTGGTGAATCAAATTGTTAGAGCTGCTGAGACTCTTGGGTTTCTTCCAAGTTATCACCCTGGAGTTCCTGAAGACGTTGACATGGAAAAGAAGGAGAGTGGGTAGAGATTCCCCTGTTCCCGGAGCCTTAGTCATCAATGTCGGTGATATGTTACAGGTTCGAATCAATATTAGTTTGTTTCATATTTATGGAAACTTCATGAGTATTGAGTAGAGTACAATCTGATCTAATACATAATTTATGTATTCAGATATGGAGTAATGGAAGATACAAAGTGCAGATATAGGGTCCGCACCACAAGCACAAAATCTCGAGTGTCAATACCAATATTTGTAAGTCCACAAGGAACACAAAAGATCGCACCATTGCCTCAAGTAGTGGAGAAAGATGGATGGCTCGTTACAGAGAATTATTGTTTTCAGATTACATGAACTGCTTCTTTGGGAATGCTCATGACGGAAAGAAATCCCTTGGGTTTGCTAAAACCAACTGATCTGCTTCAAGAAAAAGACGCATGCTACTTTATTCTTTCAGCTATTGATTTTTGGACAAGAGAAATGCTCTTATGTAACAATAAATTAAAGATGTTTTACTGTCTTTCTATAGTTTTTTTATATAAAAAAAATGTTGTAATGTAATTGCGATTCACAATTTATTTGTTGCATGTCATAAAAAGAGTTGCATGAGCCAGCAAAATTAAGCATCAAATTTACCTATTGTGGTATTACTTATCACTTCTGTAATTTGTTGGCATTACATATAACAAAGAATGCCACCTTGAAGGTAGTAAGCAGTCTGATTACTCATACGGCGCAAACACTATAGGCAACCTATGTTTTATTACAGGCACACCGTGAAACTAAGCATCATCGTCAGTAATAGTAACATAAATCAACCATGGAAGACAGTGGTTTCAATCGTCTTGCTGGTGCACTTGACCGGTGCATCAAACTTGGTGAAGAGTCTATAGGAAGACACCAGTGACAACACAACATAACAAAATACAGTGATAAATGTGATGATCACTGATGTTGTGGCTTTGTGACAGAAACCAGAAAATGAGCCACAAGCAGCACTCCAGGTGATTGCCGAGTCTCCTTTGTTTGCCAAATAAAGCACCTCCGTTGACACAGCAGCGGCACCCAGGATTATGTATGTGAGAATCTGCAGGAATATATAAAAAAAAGATGAAAATCATTATGATGTTTAAAGGTTGATGTAATTAATGAAAAAGAAGTTAAATTAGATGACCTGATCGAGGAGGAAGAAAGTCCAAGCTCTAGGCATAGTTGAGGGACGAGGCATGAATGCAACAATAGCTGAAAGAAGGGAATAGCCTGCACAGATTCCATTTGCATGCACCAGATACCTTAAAAAGGTGGGGGGGAAACAGTAAACTCTTTATGAGCTCATATTGATTCAGTTGGTTAACTACTTATTGCAACATGATAAAAGTCTTAGATTCAAGGTTAAAGAAGAACCTGAAAGCTCCAAGATCTGAGTAGGAAACCGAGCCGAAGTCATTGGACTGAGAGTCCTTGAGCATGACAACAAGGGCAGCAACCCCTAAAGCCATCGGCACCAAGCGCAGCATGGTCTCGGCAGTTCTCATGCTAGTGTTCACTTCTTCCTCATTTTCACTTCTCGAAGACCCCATTAAAGCCATTGGAGACCTTGTTGTAGCAGCAGCAACACCATTACCCTTTTCACTACTCTTCTCCATTGTTTCTCTCTTTGTTCTTCTTCTTCCTTGTTCTAGCTGTTGATATTGGAAATATGTATATACAGATGTGGTTTGAATACCTTATTAATGGGATTTAGGTAAGGTAGCTGGTGAAATCAATGAATGGCATTCAAGGCATGCAGCCACACTTCCCTAAGTGCATTAAATAGAACAAAGCCTTCCTCTCTATCACATGGTTGGTGTTATTGCTTAAGGTCCGTTTATTTCACTTAAAATATTTTTCAGAAATTGTTTATTTTTTAGTGTTTGATTTGAGGAAAATTAGTTGGTAAAAGTAAAATGTTTTCCTGATCAATATAATTTTCTTTGTGTTTTCTGGAAAATGATTTACGGTTTGATTTTCCGTAAGTCATTTTCCGAACTTTTCGGTTCAAAAAATAAATACTCAAAATAATTTTATTTTATGAATTTAATATTAATAAAATAGTTTAATATCATTTTAATCAAAATATTAATTTTTAAATTTTTAAAATATATTTATTAATATTTCTAATAATATATATAATATTTTTAATATTAATAAAATAATCAATTATATTATAATAATATAATATATTATATTTTTATTTTAATAATATATAATAAATTATTAATAAAATTTATTTTATTTATTAATTTCATAGAAATAATATTATTAAATTATTAATAATGAATAATATTATTTATATATTTAATATCAATATAATGATCTAATAATATCTTAATAAAGATATTTAAAATATACTAATTAATATTTTTAAAATATAATACAACACTATTACTTTAATAAATAATTAATATAATTTATAATATTTTAATTTCAATAAAATATACCAATATTAATATTTTATTAATAAAATTATAAAAATAATATTTAATAATAAATAAATTATAATAATATTTTAAAAATAATAATATTAAGTTTTATGATAAATAATATTATTTATATATTTAATATTTGTAAAAAATAATTTTTTAAAAATTCATCAATTAGTAGAAAAAATAATTTAAATATATCTCAAACATCGTAAAACGTTTTTTAAAAAATATTTTCTAAAAAATATAATTCATTTTACAAAAAATAATTTTCATAAAACGTTTTGAGTAAAACAAACGGAGAGTAAGTTACCATCCTCCATGCTTATCTTCATTCCATCAAATTCTCGTTAATGCATAAATTTCATTTAACACGGTCTTCCATTCCATTGATCATGTGTCAAGTCAAGCATTAAATGGCTACTAAGTACTATTTAATTTATTTATGTCCTATCAATTTCAATCTATGCATAGAATACGAAATTGACCTCCCTTTCCTTCCCATTTGGGGCCAACTACAAACCACACATAAGAATATTTGTTTGTTCGTGGGCATTGGGCCGAGATCACCCTGTGATGAGGACCATATTGCAATGTATAGATTCCCTGCCCCTAGTTACTGAGATGCATAAATCAAAGATGATTTTTATAAGCAACAGATTAATTGAGTTTGTTGAGTACTCGTTAACACTAACATTTTGACAAGCACAAGGCTTGAATTTCACCGGCAATCCCATTTGATGGTTATAAAAGTACCATTTTTAGTCCCTTGGGTGGCATGCCAGACCTTGAACTGAGTTAGCATTCCTCAACTAAACTTTTTTTTTTCGATTTTAAGAACTTTAAGCACCTTCAAGTAGAACTCCATGGCATTATCTACAATCAAATGCTTCTAAATATAATTCAAACTCATTGACAACTCATTACATCACACTCTTTTGAATGAATTGATACTCATGTTTCAAGGACTCGAACTTATGAAATGGTTTAGAATCTCCATCTTATTTCAACACATACGTACTTCATATGAGAATTAGGCTTGGATTCCTTGAAATTGATCTAAGAATTTTGCCTAAAAATATCAACTTTCACTTTTAACCCCACTGTCATCTTCCTTAAATCAAACAATCTTAAGAAGCTTAGACAAATTTCATACATTTAATATTAAGGTGGCGTTTGGTTCGCTGGAATGTTTATGAGGGAATTGGAATCTGTGAAGGAATTGTAATCCAATTCCATATTATGTTTGGTTGGCAGGAAATGGAATTGGAATCCAATTCCATATTCTGTTTGGTTCGCAGACATGTCAGATGAATTTGATTTTAGTAATATAAAATGACAAAATTGTTCTTCTTGTTTTTTTGCTTTATTTTAGTTTATTTTACAACTTACATGTAGTAATATATTATAAAAAAATTAAAAAATATTAAAATTTTATTTTATTGATTGATTATTCATTTCAATAAATTGTAAAAATCATGCTAATAAACATTATAAGTTAAAATCATCGCAATCAAAATATGTTAATAAGTTACCAAAAGATAGAGCAATATTTCGATACATTCCAATCGGAGTATGTTAATTAGTTACCAAAAAATATACCAAAAACTATTTTTATTCAATATATGAATTAGAAACTCGACCCGACACGACTCAAAATAATAATAATAAATTATTTTTTATCAATAAAAACATTGACTTAATTGAAAAAAATTATATATAGAGGGGTATTATTGTAATTATTCCTAAATATATAAGGTAAAATTATATATTTTTTTCGGGTTAGTCCGGTTTTTTTCACCCTAAACCCGAACCCGACCCGACCTGACTCGAATATCACACTTAAAAAAACCCGACCCGACCCGAATATCACACTTAACAAATCCGACCCGACCCGAACAAAATAAAGTTTCATCCGACCCGACCTGAAATAATAAAAAATTAATTTTATTTAATAAAAACAGTGACTTAATCCGACCCGACCCGAATTATATATATTTTCGGGTCGGTCTGCTTTTTTTCACCCTAAACCCGAACCCGACCCGACTCGACCCGAATATCACACTTAAAAAAACCGACCCGAACAAAATAAAGTTTCATCCGACTCGACCCGAATATATGAATTAGAAATCCGACCCGACCCGAAATAATAATAAAATATTTTTATTTAATAAAAACAGTGACTTAATCCGACCTGAATTATATATATTTTCGGGTCGGTCCGGTTTTTTTCACCCTAAATCCGAACCCGACCCGACCCAAACAAAATAAAGTTTCATCCGACCCGACCCGAATATATGAATTAGAAATCCGACCCGACCGGAAATAATAAAAATTGTTTTTATTTAATAAAAACAGTGACTTAATCCGACCCGACTTGAATTATATATATTTTCGGGTTGGTCCAGTTTTTTTCACCCTAAACCCGAACTCGACCCGACTCGACTCGAATATCACACTTAAAAAAACCCGATCCGACCCGACCAAAATAAAGTTTCACCCGACCCGACCCGAAATAATAAAAAAAAAATTTATTCAATATATGAATAAGTTACCAAATGATTGATGAGGGTAGTATGGTTAAATTTCAATTCCCTCCAACAAGGGAATTGAATTCCATCAGGGATTCCAATTCCCTTGAAAAACTTGAACCAAACATGGGAAAGTGGTAGAATTGAATTTCAATTCCCACTAATTCTATGGGATTCCATCCAACCAAACGCCACTAAGAGTATCAATTTCAATTACAATAATATATAAATAAAAAAGTAGAAACCAAAACTCACACGGCAATCTCCTCCAATTGCTTCTTAACACTCATATCAATCAATTTGGACCCTGAGTTACCAAACTTGGGTCAATCTTGGTTTTAATCCCAACAGAGAGTACTTGAGAACATGTATTTTGCTTTCGTAGAGAGCAAATAAAGCTATTATCAGTTACCTGTTGGACCGGTGTAGTATGCAATTTTTAAAACAAAAATAGGTTTTTAGTAGAAAACATATATAGATCGATGAATATAGCTAATGGAAAGAGATCAATAACTCAGTGAGGAAACTGACACACTCGGCAAGCGGTGTAAGTCCAAGCAAACCCAAAGCAAATATCCAATGCTCTTCGAACATATTAAGTAAAACAGTGGCGATAACATCAAACTGCGATTGCTATTTTATGTAATAATCGTAAACATGGTTTAACTACTTACTCTACCAAACTTGTAGAAATCAGCAACAATGGCCAAAGGGATAGCAGGGAAGAGAGCAGCAAGCTTTGTACCAAGAATGACTCATTATCTAAGAACTATCGGAGCATCTGTAACCGAACATTCGAAACTAGAAACGGTCGATTTTTTCCGCAAAAGTGAAGTCGACGTGTTTTGAGCTGTCAGAATCCCATTATTCCATGAATTTCTTTTTCAACAACAACAAGAGGAGAAGGAGTTAACAGGAGTTAAGTATCACGTCAGCAAAAACTAACGGGACGTAACGACAGAGACTTTACTGAAAACAAGTTAAAAGTTCGATAATTGTATTGTATGTTTCAAAAGTTGGGTGACCAAAATGCAAGCTCTCCAAAAATTCGGAGACTATTTGTATAATTTACCCTAAAATTTTACAATATTCGATTAGATGACATAAAGTATTAAATTAATAATTTTAAGAATGTCACGTTATATATTTTAGTATGCTTTGCACCATACGTGAGTTTCTCTTAATATTTGTTCATTAGTAGTTTGATCATACTTTTGGAACAATTAAGTACGAAATTAATATTTCAATAAAAAAATACAATATTAATATATTTGAATTAGATCCATCCCAAAGGATATAGACATGTGTTATTTTTTTAAAAATGATGTATCTAAAATATTTTATAATAAAAAGAAATTATAAAATATCAAAATCTATCCTATTACGATTGTTTCTTATAAAATAAAGTTTTTAAACATATAAAATTAAATTTTATTCATATGAAAAAATAATTTTTTAGACTAAATATATTTTTTCAAAAGTGTGGGACTATTAAATTTAAAAGTCACTTGATGTGTCACAGGTTACCTATGCTAATGGACGGGTCTTATTTGAATGTGTATTATTAATAATATTAATTTAACAGAAAGATAATCAATTATTCTTTAGTTATATGTGTATCTATTTTTAAAAAAATTATTTTTTAAACCTTTTTTTACTAACTATAGCAAGTTGAAGGCCCAGTACAGGACACCTGTGAGCTATAATATTGGGCTTCCTCCTTCGCACTCAATTTTGGGCTTAGATTTCATTGACAGCCTACTAAGCCTCCAAAAAGCATGAAATAGATTCTATAATTATTTAATTGATATTTTGGGCTTAGGTTTTAAAGATTCTATCAAGCTTA